TCCCAAAAATTATTATTTTGTCCGATGTAGCTACAATGGAAAATGTTATGAAAAACCCTAATTTTAAAGCCATGACCATTATCCCTGGTTTCAATCATGGTAAAAGGGAGTCGAGAATGGGCACTCTCAGTACTTTCGCCACCTCTGAGGTGTACGTTCACAATAAAACCAACATGGCCGCCTCTGGTGAGTAGGGGTGGCGAGGGGTTAAAACGGGTTGCGCATAACAAAAAACGCCGTAATAATTATTTAATTAATTATAATATTTTCAATTTTGGTTATAGAATGATGTTTAATGATGTAATCGAAATATGATATTATACCATGTTGATATAGGTAAATATGCGTCATATTTTTAAGCATTTTAATTAACTTATTAATGCACAAACTGAAAATTAAATTTAACTATTAGTGGACAGGAAGGAATAACAATTTTAACAGAATTTGTCATAATAATTCATATAATCAAAAAAGCAACACTTGTTGTCATACATGTCATAATAATTCAATTAAACATTAAAGCAAAATTTATCATTTTACATACTTACATACATACATACATACATACATACATCCATCCATATACATATCAATAAATAGTTACTGTGCCGATGTTTTCTCTAATTTAAGTATAGATTTATTTAAAAATTCTATTAACGTTTTATATTTCAGCATTTAGCGGTTGATATACTTACATACTTGTGTATGTAAATTCTTTTAATAAATATTTTTTTATGACATATTTGATTTTATATTGAACAATAAATATATTTTGGTAAATGGTTTCAAAACTATATACATATAAAAATTGGAACAATTTTGCTATTTCAACTCCAATAAAGTCTTCGTACAATTCGCTTTTGCTAGTAACTTCTCGTTCTAAATAATAATAGGCAACTCTTCTTATAACGGTACTTTGATAAAGTGAACAAAGTGTGCTTAGAGGAATATTTGAGTGATTCATTCGAAGAGTAAAGTTACGTGAGCTTATCATCATTTGCATATAAGGCAATCGGAGATCGGCTAAAAATTAAGCGAATGGTTACTGCAGATCCATTTATAAGTGCTCAAAAAATCACTACAGAGCTTCACCAATTCAGCCAAAAAAAAGTTAACCTGGAAACTGTGCGAAAAGCTATCATTAATGCTGGGTTTAAGTCTCATACACCTCGTCGAAAACCACTTGTAAACATAACAAACCGTCCAAAACGCATTGCCTTCGCTGAGGAGTACCAAAATGCATCTCCTGTGTTTTAGCGGCAGAATTAAAGTATGGAGAAAAACGGGAGAACCCCAAAATACTATTAAAACAGTAAAGCACGGAGGTGGTGGTGTGATGGTATGGGGTTATATGGCTGCTAGTGGCGTTGGCAACCTCGAAATAATAGAAGAAGTTATGGACCACCGTGTGTACATAGAAATTTTTAAACGAAATATGAAGCCTAGTGTAGAAAAATTGGGCGTGTCTGAAGCATTTTATTTCCAGCAAGACAACGACGCCAAACACAGTGCTCATAATACAAGGATGTACTTGGCGTGCAATGTCCCGCATTTGCTGGAGACACCACCATAGAGCCCTGATCTTAATGCAATTGAGCATATTTGGAACTTGCTAGAGAAACGGATCAGGACTCATCATATTAGATCAAAAACTCGCCTTGAAGAGGTTTTTCAAGAGGAGTGGATGAAAATCTGCACCGTCTGTTCGTTTAGCTTTTTGCTGTTTAATTTGTGGTTTATAATTGGACAACATTACACAATACAATAATAAAGAAAGTTTATATCTCTTGAAGATAAAATCGAAATTCTAAATCGATTAGAAGGCGGGGAAAAGATTTATTTAAGGATTGGTTTTATAATTGTTTTATCGGGTGGGCTTTAGTTTAGCATCCCACGATTTCCGGGTTAAGAATGGTATGTGTATAAAATTATTGCCGCCGGAAACTTATAGTTTTCGAGATATTTGCATTTAAAGTTGAAAATTCACAAATTTTATTTTAAAATTTCTCGATTTATGGTTAACTTTTCTTTTATATTACGCACTTTTTATACACTAACACTTCACTACAATGTTTCTACATATTTATTTTATGTTAATTATTTAAATATTTGCTTTAAATAAGCATTTTATTTTTACACAATTTTGGTTATATGCACAATAACAAATGGGTTCCATGTTGACAGTTAACAAGTGTTGCCATATCTATTTTATATATATATATATATATGTATATATATATATATATGTATATATATTTATATTTTGAAAGCGAATAAAAATGAATAATAAAAGAGGATTATACCCCAAATACATGAACTATAATTTTGTTAATTCTCTTCTATTGATAAATTATGGTGTTGGACCGACCAGGGTTTTTTTTTGAAGAGCGGCCGAAGGCCGCCAGTGGAAACAGGAAATCTAAATAAAAAAAAACGTATGTTAAAGATGGTATATCACTCTCTTTAAACTTCAATTTCTATAACGGAATTTTCTATAACTAAACAAGGTACCGTTTCTTTTTTTGTCCGTTTTGTCATTATTTTCATATTCAAATTTAATTGGTGAATATTGTGCATATAAATCATTAGGCAAGTGTTTATATTTTTTACATATTTTTTTAAATTGTGATAATATTTGAGAAAATGAGTGGAAATACATCAGGTATGTTATTAGAAATTTAAAATTATAACAAATATTACTTAAGACTTTTAAATAGATTGTAACGAACCATCAACCAGCCGTGGTGCGGTAAAAACAACCAATGTTCTCAAAGTGTCCGAAATTAAGGAAATTTGGAATTTCCCTAAAATAATTCAAAATTGCGACACTAGTGAGAAATGTATATCGTTTGCAGAGGAGGAGGGTTTAATTTTAAAAAGCAAACAATGTTGTACGCATAGGATACCTATGTTGGTATCCTTATCAGATAGGAGCACGGTTGGCATATTCCGATGCCGGAAAAGTGCCTGCCGTAAACGGACTGCGGTGTCGAGGTCGAGTGGGACATGGTTTGAAAACGCAAAAATACCACTGCCTCAGATTTTTTATATAATGTATGCATTTGCATCGCACTGGTCCTATTCGCAAGTTCGAAAGAACAGTTTTATTAAGGAGCCAATTTTATCCAGCGCTACCATATGTGATTGGTACAATTACTGCCGAAGCGGTAGTTTTATACCAGGTTGATCACCAGGTAGCGGTAGGTAAAATTGGCGGCCCTGGTAAAATTGTTCAAATAGACGAGAGCAAATTTGGGAAACGAAAATATAACAAAGGTAATAATAAATACATTATTATTTATTATTTATTATTAATTATTTAATTTTTTAATTTTTTCTTTTTTAGGACGGAGAGTGGAAGGCCACTGGGTTTTAGGCATGGTAGAGGATGGGAGTGACGACCTTCGGCTGGAAGTGTGTCCCGATATTGTGAGGTCTGCTGAAGTGCTCATATCCTTAATTCAGAGACACGTTTTACAAGGTAGCATCATATGTACTGATTGTTGGAAGGCGTACGACTGTCTGTCCAGTCACGGGTATGAGCACCGACGCGTTAACCATAGCGATCCAGAAAATCCGTTTGTTGCCGAAGATGGATAAAATCCCATCACGCAGAGGATAAAATCCCAGTGGCGCGTAATCAAACGGTTTTTTTTTAAAGACAATTATAATAACAGTTAAGATTTCTCGAATTTGATTTATGAATACGTATGGCGTAAAAATGTTGCAAATCAGCATCACGATCCATTCGTGAAACTATTAGATGCAATAAAACATACCTTTAAGCCATAAAACCTTTTTCTTTTATTAAAATGGAAAATTTAGTTCATAATATTTTGTGGAGGGTAATTGGGTTTTTTATTTATTTTGATTGCTGTCATTCGTTTGGATATGGCAACACTTATTATCTGACAACATGGAACCCATTTGTTATTGTGCATATAACCAAAATTGTGTAAAAATAAAATGCTTATTTAAAGCAAATATTTAAATAATTAACATAAAATAAATATGTAGAAACATTGTAGTGCAGTGTTAGTGTATAAAAAGTGCATAATATAAAAGAAAAGTTACCATAAATCGAGAAATTTTAAAATAAAATTTGTGCAATTTTCAACTTAAAATGCAAATATCTCGAAATCTATAAACGGCAATAATAATAATAAAATTTCGGCGGCAATAATTATATATATTCGTGATCTGAAGAATCTCCTCTATCCACCCATACCCCTCTTAACCCAGAAATCGTGGGATGCTATACTAAAGTTTTCCCGTTTTATCTCCCATACCATGGAAAAACATTTGCATTTCAAAGTTTTTATTGGTTCTTAATAACGCTGGTTGCCACAACATATAACTGGATCATCAATATGTAAACATTATTTTCTTTCCTCCCAACTGCAAGTCCTTAATACAACCTTTGGACCTTTGTTCAAATTTCTTTAGACGATTACCAATTTTATGTAGAAGTTCTGAACTCACCATGCTAATTTCATCAATGATCAGTACTCTGACATATCTGAAGAGATATCTATACAATTGCAACTTCTGATGACAGAGGCAAAAAAATTTTGAGAGCTGTGTAAATAGTTGTACCATCAATAGTCACGGCAGCTTTGCCGGTTGAAGCACATATAATATAGTCATTGCAGTAACCATTATTATCAGTGAACCTGTTGTAAATTTCCATAATCAATTTGATAACGAATGGTTTTTCCGTACCAGCTGGTCCCGTAAAAAAAAATTGAAATGGTTCTTGAATTGAAGTCTGCAAATGATGAATTATAGTCATTAGAATATCTCTTTGTTGATCATTGGTCATTCGCAATAAATCTTAGAATTGTTGATAATCCATTAAATTTTATCTTTTTTTAGCTATAGCGCCAAGTTTATGCAGAGATGCATTATGTAAATCAACGTTAGCAGTTGAGTTTAGATCGTAGCAATAAGTCATAAGAATATCTTTCATGCAATATATCAACCGCTCTTAATAATTCTTCGTCTTCTTGTTCTTCATCGTTTTCTCGACACAACTGTCTACAAATTTCTAAAGTTTTCTCTAAAATTCATCACAATTTGTGTAGTCAAAATTTTCGTATTTTTTTTTGTTGGCATAAACGGTGCACCAAATCATTCTTCCATTTTATTAGGATCCGTTGTATGTTACTAGTTTTATATTATATTTCCAGCCGCCTCTGACGCTGACACAGAAACTAATTCGTCGATTAATTTAATTACTTCAGGATCGTTGCTTAATAAATCTTCAGGAACATTTTTCAACCAAAGAAGAATATGAGTAGCCCACATACCACGATGTTGAAATTCTATTGTTTTGAAATAATGTACTACTCTATATCTTCTGAATGCACTTCTTTTCTTTGATTGCAAAACTTTTCTCAGACAATTTACCATTTTATTAAAATAAATATACGACAACCACTCTTTAATGTGGCTCTTATTAATAAGTCCGTAGACATATGTAACTAGTTTTGTGAATCAACTTCTTTTTCAAATGTACATAAAAGTAATGGTCATCTTGAATGTTTCTTGGCAATTGTTTCACCATTGTATTAATTTCGACAGGAACATTAATTATCTGGCCATAAATACTGTACTGTTCATTAACGTGTCTCAATCTACGAATCTGCATGAACGGTATTCTCGGTGAAATCAATCGTTGCTCGATAAGGTTTAAGGTTGGTAAATGTGATGGAATTTTCGGATATACAAAACCATTGTATGTTGACATGAGAGGAATATTTTCTTTTTCCAAAAATGTATAACACGTAGAGCAGATTTGAACAATTTTACCAGATGTGTAATTCTAAAAAAAAACAAATTCGTATTCTCAAGATATAGAAAGAAAAGTATAAAGTGAATAATTAAAAAACAAGAAAAAACGTTAACTTCGGTTGCACCGAAGCTTTAATACCCTTCACAGATACAAAGTTTCCTTACAATAACTTGATTCAGATCGACGAAATCAGACGAAATTTCGTGAATCGGTATTAAAAAATAAAATTTTATTTCATGCAGGCACTTTACTCCGATCGTTCAGTTTGTATAGCAACTATAGGCTATAGTCATCCGATCTATACAATTTCTTCGGAGATTCCATTGTTGCCTTAGAAAAAAACTCATGCCAAATTTCATGAAAATATTGCGTCAAATGAAAAAGTTTCCTATACAACGATGTGCTTCCGATTGTTCAGTTTGTATGGCAGCTATATGCTATAGTGGTCAGATATTGGCCGTTCAGACAAATGAGCAGCTTCTTAGTGAGAAAAGGACAGGTACAAAATTTCAGATCAATAGCTTAAAAACTGAGGGACAAGTTTGCATATACACTAGGCAGAAAAAGTCTCCGCTCACCAATCCGTGGAATGTGTTTCAATAAAAATATTTAATAAAATATATGCGTTTTTGAAGTTCTTTTCAAAATATCAGATGCGCATGCTAATAGCATACAGTTGCCATATTTCATGGAATTCCTATGCGCGTTTGCAAAGTTAACGGCAGTTTTTGAATTCTACTAATGGAGAATAAGCAGACACAGTGTCCTCTCACTGCTTATTACATTAGTTTATTGTAGTTTCTACGCGTTTAAGACCTGATTATTTTTTGTGCGTTGTTGTCAATAATACAGATTTAGATAATCGAAGGAAAAATCTGCAATTTGAATTGATAAGCATGAATTTGTGTCTAAGGTGGCGCTACTATCTCCGAATTATTTAGATTGGACCACTGTAGCATATACGTAGTAGGGATGATCGATATTAGAAAAACATCGATATGTCTAAAACATCGATGTTTTTGGAAACAAATAAAACTGTCTATAATATTTATAAAATGTTTTAATTATTAGAAAATTACATTAAATTTAAAATAGCCCACTCTTCCTGAGGCACCTAAAAATCACAAAAATAATAACAAAAATCAACATTCCCAGTATTTTTTAGGGACACTGTAAAAAAATTAACTTTGATAAGTTTTTTCCTTTAAGTCTGTTCCGTTGCTGGTACAGAAGCTGACCAGCGGAATTTTTAAATAAATTTGCAACCCCAGAGGCATGCTTGTGTCTCATTGACCAGACAAAATATTGTTATTTTGGTTGACAAGTTTATAATGGTCTTGCCATATATCTACAGTGTCTTCTTCGACTGGTCTTGTCTCTGTTAGTTGATCATTTTCGTTTGTTTCATTGGTCTGAATATCTGAAATCAATTCCTTGATACTCCTAATGCCTCTGGAACAGGCTAATGCATCTTGGAAATGTATATTTTTGAACCGGGGATCCAAAAGAGTGGCGATAGCAAGGATATTCACGTTTTCTGTTTGTAACAATCGTTTCTTTATTTCTTCAATTACGCTTTTTTTTAAATTATCTCCAATTGTCTGTTTTGGTTCCAAGCCTGTCACTTTTATAGTAAGTAATCTGGTAAGTGGGATAACTTTACTACATGTTACATATTTTTCACCACAGACTTCACGAGTAGTTATTTCAATTGGTCGTAAAATCTCACAAACTTCAGTTAAATCAATAATTTGTTTGACATTCAACATTTCTGGTGCACTAGTGTGGCAATTAATAATATTATTGATTGCAGGGCGCAGTTTTAAAAATCTTTCAATCATCTAAAATGTTGAGTTCCATCGAGTGGACACATCTTGTATCAGTTTCAAATCAGATTCTCGCCTCAATTCATCACTAGCAGCAATACATTGTTTAAACCACGTTACAATTCTTTTAATAGCAGCTATTAGGTAAGGCAAATTAGGCGTTTTATCGATGGATTTTTGTGCCACCAAATTCAACATATGGGCATAGCAGTGTATATGACGACTTCTACCAAATGCAATTTCTATTGCTTTAACAATATTGGCCCCAGCATCAGTGACAACTGCCACAATTTTATTTTGTTCAATATTCCATTCGTCACAGACCTTCAATAATATATTCGCTATATATTCCGCAGTATGAGATTGCATTAAATCATAAACTCCCAACGATACAGATTCTAATTTATCCTCCTCATTACAAAATAGAACAGTCACTCCCAAAGAACTTCTAGTTTGCATCATGTCTGTCCAAATGTCTGTCGTTAAAGTCAAACCACTCACGTTTTGAAGTTTCCCTTTGAAGTGTTCACTAATAATGTCATATTTGGTATTTAACATCCTTTACAAAGTAAATCGTGAAGGCACCTTGTACAATGGACAAGCAGTTTTCATTAAATTCAGAAAACCTTCATTTTCTACAATTTGAAAAGGTTGTGAGTCTTTGCAAATCATGTATAAAATGATATTCGTCAACCGAATTCCCTTTGAGCCCATATCACCATATTGAGATATTTTACTAAAGCTAGAGCTTAGAGTTGGTTGGGAGAATAATTTTTTGGCACTATCTGTGTAACTTTTTTCAGAATCACAATCACTCCCTGATTTAGATATTTCCATTGTAACTGTAACATTAGCCGTACTAGTTGAAAACACAGCACTAGGTTTTTTAAAAGTTGTTGGAGTGGAGGATGATGTAGTTCTCACAGGTTCATCTTTGGGCATTAAATTCTGATGTTTTTTTTCCAAATGACATTTCAAATTGGTAGTATTACTAGCAGTTTTTAAATTTTTTCCACAGGAACGACATTTGGCGCTAGTATCATTTATTTTTTCAAAATATTTCCAGTATTGACTCTTTGGTGGCATTTTATAATACCTGAAATTAAAAAAAAAACAATAATCAAATTATTATATGCATCTTCGTTATACCTACTTATTTATCATAATCTGAATCTGAATTAATGTATCTTTATGATTTAAAACTAGACATTCATGAGCAAGCGTTACGATATGATGGACGTGCCTGAAATCTGAATAATAAATAAATAAATGACGAATCTTTAAAATAAGACAATGGCTGTAACTCAGACTAAAAAAAATATCAAGACGTAACTTAGCTCCGTGACGCTAGATGGCGCCCAAAAGAATAATTGACGTTTCGATACTTTCATTCTAGTAACATCGATGCTCCGATAATATCGAAGTCAACCCATCGATGTTAAAACATCGATGTTTTCCAGTAAAACATCGATGTTTCTACAACATCGATGAATATCGATCATCCCTAATACATAGCTGCCATACAAACCAACCTATCAAAATCAAGTCAAATGTTTTTATACCCTTTAATGATATAAAAATGCAACAAGCTTCGGTGCAGCCGAAGTTGACGATTTTTCTTGATTTTATTTTCTTTCTTAATATTTCCGAAATTTTTAAAATGTTTTTAAACAAAACGCTCCACGATACGCTGCCGACGCGCAGCTGAGCAGCTGAGCAGCTGCAAACTTAAGGCTATGCGTGCATTGTCACTTGACACTTTGGCTGTGCGTGGTGAGTACTAGTGGGCTGTGTGTAGTGGACGTGTTGTGGACCCAGAGAACTTATAAAAACGAGAAGGTGCAAATTGAATTTTGTATAATGCTCGATTGGACGGCTAACAGAGCTGGAAAATTGAGGTCAAAGAGTTCACCATTTCCTGTAGTATTGCTTTGCAGAAATGAGAATTTATAACAACAGTTTCTTGCAGAAATACGTATCTCCCCACATAAAAAGAAAAATTAAATACTTTAAACAAAAAATACAAATGCCACTTCACATATGCATGATTATTTTTTGTCATATAAACTATTTTTATGATAAAAATTGATAAAATATGATTTTTTTTTTACAAATGAGGCATGATAAAATGCGAAAGATTATGAAAAAAAGAAATTTACTTTACTTTTTTTAATAATTTTCTAATTTCAATTATTACAGAATTAATAACTTCTGTATGTAGATATGTACATCAATATGTTATATTATATAATATAATAACTTAGAAGTTCTCTGAGTAAATCACACAACAACAAGATTTTTATTCATGAACGCTGGCGCACATGCAATAAGCTAAGTCGTTTGTTTCATAAACAGCAAATGCCTTACACATCTCCCCGAGCATGCGTTTGCCTACAAGCCTCTTCTCGCGACGATGGCAAAAGCTAAAAATCATAAATTGAAAAACTTTCTGACGTTCCTTCTGGAAGGGAAAAGTGTCAATTCCGCAAACCTGCAAAGACAGAAAAAATTTACTTAAGTATATGACAACATAGTTCTTGTCGTTTTGAAATATTTTACAATTCAAAAATATTTTTCCATGGCTCGCTAAATCTGCGTCTATTTATAATATACTTATGTATGCATGCCCGAGAATAAATAGAGAAGGCGCAAATGTTAAAAGTACTTAATTGAGCTTTTCTCAACAGGGAACATCGAAAAATACAACTTCGACTCTTCTGAAATACACCACACAATAATCGAAACGGGGAAAAGGCTATAAATAGACACAAAGAATGTTCTTAAATGAATTATGCGCATGCTGATTTACATTTGCATATAACCAAAAAATCATGACTTTTGTAATTTAAAATATTCCTTCAAATTATAAAAGAGGATAATTGGTTAAAGTCCCAGAATTTACAATAAAATATGTTATTAAAAGAAAAATTCTTCAGCAAATTTGTGTGCGTTGCGTGAACAATATCTAATATGCAAAGGATTAGAATAAAACAGTGGTGAAGCGGCCGCGATTCCACTTTTGCGCTGGCTCAGGTCGTAAGCTTGAAGGAGTTAAGCCATTCCGTATACAAACGTTTGCGTTCGAATCCTATAAAGCATAAATCTTAACTCTTATTTTGATTTTATTTTATTATTTGACATTTTAGCTGATCTCAACTCAATTACTTGAATAGCATATTTTTCTTCCTGAGATCATTAAAAGTATTCAGAAAAAGTAAGGAAGGGCTAAGTTCGGATGTAACCGAACATTTTATACTCTCGCAAAGTCAAATCGTATGTTCATATGTTTGGGTTTCTTGCATATTACCTTATTTATGGGGATTTATACAAATGTAAAAATCACGCTTGTACTTACATTTTTACGTAAATATTAGAATATTATGCAAATAAGCCCTAAGATAACAGTCTTTTATACTCTCGCAACCTGTTGCTACAGAGTATAATAGTTTTGTTCACCTAACGATTGTTTGTATCACCTAAAACTAATCGAGTAAGAAATAGGGTTATATACATATATAAATGATCAGGATGAAGAGACGAGTTGAAATCCGGGTGACTGTCATTCCGACCGTCCGTATGTCCGTGCAAGCTCTAACTTGAGTAAAAATTGAGATATCTTTATGAAACTTGATAGACATGTTTCGTGGTACCGGGAGACGGTTGCTATTGCAGATGGGCGTAATCGGACCACTGCCACGCCCACAAAACGCCATTAATCAAAAACATATAAATTGCCATAACTAAGCTCCGCAATAAGATACAAGACTGTTATTTGATACACAGGATCACATTAGGGAGGGGCATCTGCAGTATAATTTTTTTTTAAAGTGGGCGTGGTCCCGCCCCTAATAGGTTTAATGTGCATATCTCCTAAACCGCTAAAGCTATAATAACAAAATTTAGAACCTCTACCTACAGTGTGAAAATAGTTGAAATCGGGTTTCAACTCCGCCTACTCACCATATAACGGTACTGTGAAAAACTACTAAAAGCGCGATCAAACTTAGACAGTGGGCGTGGCACCGCCCACTTTAAGGTGAAAACCCATATCTTGGGATCTGCTTAACCGATCGGTGCATAACGTTCTTTTCACATTTCTATGTTATAGTGCAAAAATGGGCGAAATCGGAATACAACCACGTCTATTTCCCATATAACACCATTTTCAATTCCATCTGATTCTTTCACTTTCTACTATGCATACCAAGCAACAATGATTATATCGGCGTAAAACTTTGCGTGAATAATACGTTTAAAGTATGCCACCTTGTGACCAAAAATTGTCTAAATCGAACCAAAACTGTTCAAGCCCCTAGGTACTAAATATGTGGACCCCAGTGCCTATAGTTGACCTTCTAACGAAAATATCAGTCAATCCACAAAGAAATGTCAAACGAGTATACCATTTGACTTTGCGAGAGTATAAAATGTTCGGTTACATCCGAACTTAGCCCTTTCTTACTTGTTTTCTATACAAATTATCAATACGATAATATAATATAAATCCTCCGTTGAAATGCCTCTGTCCATGGTGGCATGCCATTGAAGTGACGGCGAGTTCGCGCAGAGACGGAGCGGAGCAAAAAATTGAGTTCTGACAAAATCTTGGGAAAAACCAAATGACAACTTTGCCGAAAAACATATGTATATACATACATACGAGATCGCATACATATTGACGCCGAATTTCGCGAAAGTTTACACGTTTTGTTTGAATCGACAATGTCGGTCGGCTATGTTGTCTCGTTTGTCCTTTTTGCAGTGGTTTGCAATTGAAAGTTGACTTATGCTCTTTTGAAATACTACGACTTCCGATTTGGCTCCATTTTAATAGCGTTCTTATTAAGAAAAGTGGCCTAATCGAAAAACTATGAAATAATGATAATAAGTAAACATATAAAAGTATTATATGCAGTGTGCTTAGAATTAATGCTTAGCTTAATGGCAACTTTATGTAAATATTTTAATGTAATGCCATACATTGTGCATAATATGAAATAAATTAAAATAATATTTCAAATCGCTAATAGGCCATGTTGTCAGTTCTCCTTTCTTAGGGGAAGTCTAATCTTCAATTTCTGATTTTTAAGAATTGTTGTGAGGAAGCAGCTTGTGGGCCACATACAATAGGGAGGGAGATGGAAGGATTTTCAGTGATACAATTTGTAAAATTGAGATTTTACTGATTATTCAATTTTCCTGAAGACATTCAAATTCAATTTCATTCTTTTTTATTTAAACTTCGCGCATTTGCGGTAGGAATTCCATATGAAATCCAAATTTGGTTGACCAGGCGCACAGAAAAAAGAGCGCAGTGCAGAGTTATAAACGTAGGCATTAATTTTTTTAATTTACGATTTTTTAGGCGTTGCACATTTTCTTGCTGCTTTTATTTAACCAACCATTTCGAATTTTTATACAACACTGTCACTAAGGACTTTAACAGTTGTTGTCTGTGCTCCAAGCATTCGCCAGCATCTAAAAACCATTCCGGAAAAACGTGTTTGTACTATCATTTATGGCATCTCGATGAACTCTCGAACTCCATAATAACGCGCATATTTTCCGAATAGCTCTTTATACCACTTCATCTGCATCCAACAAATTGCAAAGGCTCTGACAGTCGGATTGATAAATCGCAGATCGGTGCAATCTTCTTAGTTTTTAGAGCGTATTAAAGACTCGGATTGCTTATTTAAATCTCCTTGAGTCTTTAACAGCTCTTTTCACAGTTATCGCATCTGAACTTGGAGAGAAGTTTTTGGTATATAGAGCATTCAGTGTAATGCCGCTGTACTTGAAGTTCCGCAGCATTTTCTTCGGTTTCTGCAAAGTGCTCATCGGGAATGTCAACTACATTAACGGCATGTTGCTCGGAATCATCGAGGGGGTTATGATCTTTCTCGCTTCCAATCAATATTCAGGTCGTTATCGTCTTTAAAGTTTGAGTTTTTATTATTAAATCTGCGCTTCAATATTTTCATTGAGATAAGACGAGCGACTATGAATTGAGTAACATAAGCCGATGGATGGGTATTTATCCCTTAACTAGCCCTAATTTTATAAAAAAAGAAAGATTTCTAGCGCGTCTTGGTTTGATTTTCCTAACAATATAAATTTGACATCTATGATAAACCCTGAAAAGCATTGACTATTTACATATATTGTTAGGAACCTCGATATGCGAAATGAACTGCAGGTGGTCCTTCAGCCATCTAACTTTGCCGAAGTGTTTCGCTAAATGGGACACTTGAACGGGCTCTTGCTGTTGAGCACTTTACTATCAAGCATTTCAATATATATGCATCCGTGCCCAATAATCCCTGACTGAATGCCATGTCGATGCCAGCTGCTACTGAATTGTTCAACACCTGTGTAGTTCTAGAAACGCTCATTTTCTCGAAGTTATTGGGATATATGTGGGAGGATGTCAACTTCGGATATATTTTAAAATGATGACTCGCACTATCGATTGCAAACAGCTTCCTTATAACCTCGAAGCTAGCTGTACCATCGATAGTTTTTAAGTCGAGCTTTAATAAATTATTCCTAACCGAATTAATCAAATGGCAATAGTCATATACTTAGGTAATGAACTTTTTTGCCATTGATTATAAAATATGGTCTGAATTTTGTAACATTTAAATTTCCGAGAGAGATACTTTTAGTGTAACGAGAAGTAAACATATGCACCAGTCCCAATTCATTAATCGAATTGGGTAAAGAAGATTTTTACCAGTTGTTACGGAATCGCCCGATCTCTCCACAATTTAATGTTATTAGCATCTGTGGCAAAAAAGCCGAGAAGAAATAGGGTGATAGAATGTATTGTAGAGATATAGGAATCAAACATTTAATTTAATCAGGTGCCCTTAGAGAACAGAAATTGGTGGAGAAAATTTTGAGTTAAAAATGAACTAGAAAAAGGAAAGGGAAATTAGTTACCTCAAATATCAATTAGAAGATTTAGCTAGGAAATTTTAAAGATTACAAAATGACTTAAAGGAGAAAGAGGAAGGTTTTGATGTAATAGGTCACTTTGTAGTGATTTTCCTAACAGATAAGCGCCTTTGTGCAAAATAATGTTAAAATTTTTAATGAAACCCTAACGGTCGTAGATACAACGATTATTTTAAACACTGGCTTTAGGTGTGTACTTCCTTTCACCTTTAGCTTATAGACACCTTAAGCCACTCCTTAGGTTTCCGGATGAGAGAACTCTGGACGAGTTTGTTTCGGAATGGCCTCGTGATCCAGGATGTAATAGTAGCAGCATAGGTGTTTAGAGTGGAGAAGCCGGGCTTGAGTCAAGACAAAAATTCGTGTCAATTTGTGTGACGATATGGCACTTAAGAGTCACATGCAATCTTTACCTAAATTTCACAAAATTGTAGGAGTTGAGGATTGTGGCGATGAAAACGCAGAAGTAGAATAGGTAATAGTACAATGACTCTGATGGTCCAAGGTATGGTGGAGCACCGTGGTCTCACCCCTATCATATTT